AAAGAGGACCCTTAACGAGTTGGATTGACACAGTGACTGCAACTATGGGCTTAAATAGCAGTGATTGTGAGGGTGGCACAGGACTGGGCAGTGTTTTATTCTGTTATACATCAGGTCACTTTGTTCCTCTGTTATTATAATATGTAGTGTTCCTTATTTAACTTTGAATTCCTGATGGTTAGCACCTAGCAAAACTCATTGCTCAATGGATTCACTCACAATAACCAGTCAATTAGAATATTCCTTTTTTTTTTTAATGAAAAAATAATTTTAATGAAAAGTAACAATTATCCTCAGGTGTGATTTTGATTCCTGTCTATCCTGAAAAATACGCATGCACTTTTTCTGCTGTAAATCTAAGAGTAATTTCTAACATTTTTGTGGTCAAAGAAAAAAAGAAACCTTAATATTATTGAATATCTATGTTAATAACATTTTTCATTATAAGATCAGGAAGCTTAGTGAGTTTTGGATGCTAGTTGTATTTTGTATGAATTTAATTTTCTTAATAACAAATTATCTCTTCTTTCTCCAAAATAATGTTCCTTGAGAAATTCAACCAATTCAGAAATAAGCAGTGCAGACAGTGAATGTTTCCGTTACTTTGTATAGTGTTTTTACTAAATGATGAACTGTAGAAGTCCTGGTTATTTGTAAATATAAAATAAGTTTGCTCATTGGGTTAAAATGTGGTTATTGACTGAAGGTTAAGCATTGAGTTACTCTATAGGGGAGGCAAACAAATAAAATCACTGTTCTGAGTGTTTGCCCTCACAGTGTATGCTGAGAAGTACAAAAAGATTGTACCCATTCTTTTGAAGCTGTGCTGCAATAGTATTGTTTGTATTGAAGGCTGGGACACTTAACCCATTCCTACGAATACAAACAATTTGGAGATATTCTGAACTCAGATGTAAGATATAGTAAGGGTCATTTGAGGAGCCCTGGTCACACAGTGGTTAAAGCGCTAATTGAACAGTCAGCAGTTCAAAGCCATCAGCCACTCAGTGTGAGAGATGTGGCAGTCTGCTTCCATAAAGATTCACAGCCTTAAAAACCCTATGGGACAATTCAGCTTTTTCAGGTAGGGTCACTATGAGTTGGAATCAACTCAATGGCAGTAGGTTGGGTTTGGTTTTGGTTACAGATCCATTAGCAAAGTCAGCTCTAATACAGTTTTGTTGTTACTGTTCGTTCTTTACACTTGTGTATGCTCACTCTTGCCCTCCTAGGAAATGTTTTTCCCCTCACTCTCTGTAATAGAAACATAAGGATATAAACACCATAAGCTGGAGGTGAGAAACAAGTTGTTAGCAGTGCTGTTTATGAAAAAATTTTCTTTATTATCATTATTACTTTTTTATTGTGATTTGGGTGAAAGTTTACAGAGCAAATTCATTTTCCCTATAACAGTTCATACACATTTTGTTTCATGACATTAATTGCAGTCCCCATAGTGTAACAGCTCTCTTCCCACTTCCTCCCTGTTGTTATGTTCTGCCTCCTTATGCATTCCTGCCCTCTGAGCAATCTCCCTGTGCAAATACTGCCCTTCTAACCTCCCATGGTTGATTGTTCCAAGGAGTGTACCTACATGGTGTAAATCTTCACCTATATGCCTGTCAGTTGTTTGACTGGAAGCCACGGGAGTGAGTTGAATTCCAGACTCGAAGAGTGACTAAGAGCCCCAGTCTTGGGGGTTTTACCAGTCTCTGTCAGACCAGTAAGCCTGGTCTTTTTTATAATTTTGAGTTTTGTTTTACATTATTCTCCCACTCTATCCAGAATCTCCTATTTTGATCACTTTCCAAGTGGTTAACAGTGGTAGCTGGCCATCATCTAGGTCTTCTGGACTCAGGGTCATGTAGGCTGAGGTTTGCATGGTCCAATACTCCCTTGGACTAATTGTTTCCATATATCTTTGGTTTTCTTCATTCTTCTTTGCTCTGGAAGAGGAGACCAATTGTTTGTTACCTTTATTATTGTTTTTTATTGTGATGTTTATATATCAGAACATTTGATGTTTTATCCACACTTCCGTGTACAATTCAGTGACATTTATTACACTCACTGTGGTTTACAACCATCCCCACTGTCCATTTCCAAACTTGTTCATTACTCTTAACAGAAACTCATTGCTCCTTAAGCCCCAGTAAGCACTAACAATCTTTGGTCTCCATGCATTTACTGTTCTGGATATTTAGTATCTGTTGCTGTCAAGTCAATTCTGACTCCTAACAACTCTATAGGACAGTGTAGGAGTACCCCATAGAGTTTCCAAGTCAAAATCTTTACAGAAACAAACTGCCACATCTTTCTCCTGCATAGCAGCTGGTAGCTTTGAACTGTTACCTTCTGGTTGATAACATAGTGCTTTAACCACTGCACCACTAAAGGTCCTTCATATTTAATATAAGTGGAATCATATAGTATATATCCTTCTCTGTCTGACTTACTTCACTCAGTATGATGTTTTCATGGTTCATTGATGAAATAGCATGTATCAGAAATTCAATTCTTTATAGCTGAACAGTATTCTAGAACCCATTGCATGGAGTCAATTACAATTCATAGTAGCCCTATAGGACAGAGTGGAACGGCCCCATAGAGTTTCCAAGGCTTGTAGTCTTTACAGAAGCAGACTTCTGTATCTTTCTCCTGTGGAACACAGCAGCTGGCGGGTTTGAATTGCCAGCCTATCAGTTCAGCCAAGTGTTTAACCACTCCACCACCAGAGCATTCAGCAAAGTGGTAGAGGCTTGGTTATTCGTCAGCCTTTAGGGCTTTAGTGGAGTTAATGAGAACTGTAAATGATCAGCACAACTTGGTGCTTCAGGGAAAGATAACACAGTGAACCTATGGTGAGTATGTTATCTTACTTGTGGTGTTGCTGATGGGAGAATGAATCCCTTAGGGAGAGAGCCAGAGAGCCTTCCATTATTGGTAAGTCTTAAAGCATACTTCATGTTGGGGACTTCTGCTAAACTGTATCTCTTTAAAAAGCAGTAACAGTCATTATGCTGCAGTATTAAGCAATATACCAGATTCACTGAAGCATAGGAAAACTGAATTCTTAAAGACCACATTTAGGCATTTTAGGATGTGAATGTGAAGTACAATCTTTGGGGAAACGTTAAAGATGAAAACATAAAGAGCCAGCTGTCTTTTAAATGCTCTTGTGCTTGACTCTGTTGCTCATCTTTTATTAAGAAACTTCATTTGAATTTGAACTTCTTTTTCACAACCACTCTAAAGCTGGTGTCTTGGAAGGAAGGTTGGGCAATCTACTTCCTTAGTGATACCGCCTCAGAGACCCAACGAGGGGTCGCTATGAGTCGGATCCGACTCGAGGGCAGTGAGTTTGGTTTTTTTTTTCTAAAGCTGATGTTGACAGTACAGAAATGAGTAGATAAAACTTTATTTAGGTACTCTGATAGCTTAGCCAGTGACCATGATCTTTCCAAATGTGGTAGTAATATAGGAACAAAATGGGGAATGTAAGAACGCTGTTTTCCTTTTGGAAGCAAAGTCAGTGACAAATTGGCTTAGAAATAGTGTTAAAAACCTAGTGGTCAAATGACAACAAGAGCAGGAGAAGATGCTTTCCAAAATCCGTTCAGTGTATTTGAACAGAAACAGAGGAGCATGCTCTTAGTTCAGTTGGTTAATAGAAGACTTGGAAGCTTTGTTTCCTATAGAAAAAATATCTTTACCCTAAACTATAATATTTCTAACTTACTGTTGCATGCATTGCTGCATTTCCTTTTTACATGTGCTCATTTATTTCCACTGCAAATGCATTTTTAAATACTGTCTCCGGGATAATTGTTGCCATTAATTAGTTTTGATATTTCTTTTTTAATGATATTTTCATTTATTCCTTTTGCTAGCTGGATTGCCTTTTGCAATTCTTACTTCAAGGCATACCCCCTTCCATCGAGGAGTATTCTGTAATGATGAGTCCATCCAGTACCCTTACAAAGAAGACACCATACCTTATGCGTTATTAGGTGGAATAATCATTCCATTCAGTATTATCGTTGTAAGTTAAATCCACTTTTCCAAGTTTATCACTTTTGGGCAGTTGTTTAATTTTTTGTTAATGTGTTAATGATTAAATGTGTAATCCTCCAAAACAAGATGTAATTTTTTTTTTAGCCTTTAAAAAGCTGTTATTTGATCAAGATAATCTCAGTTATTTTAAGTGTAGCCAAAAGAATAACAATGTATATCAGAATAACATTATTGAATACCTGTATGTTGTATGCTCATTTTTCTATGTCACTGTGATGTTAAGAGATCTAATACTATTATTACAGAAATTATGCAATAGATTGCTGAATGTTTTATCACTACATTTCTAGCATACTTTATACCTAGGATATTGTTTTGTAAGAATTCATTGTATCTCTGTGGATGTGCCATGTCTCTTTAGTCACTGGAGTCTAGAAAAGAAAAATTGCTAACTAAGGTTAAAACTTCATTTAATTCATGGTTACTTTAAAGCATTTATAGTTAATTCCATAAATGGAGGGAAAAGCTGTAGTTCTGTGCATAATTAGCAGTGAACACAAAAGAATTTTTACTGGTATTGATGACAAGACTGATTCCTGAACCTCAATAACTGTTGCTTTCAGTATTTCAGGTGGAAATGCTTAGAGAAGGTGGCTTTAGAGAGAAGACTTCAGTGGTTGGACTAGATGGATGATTTTATAATCTCTTGACCCAGAAATTGTACAATTTAACAGTTTTGTGCTCCATAATTTGTAACTTTAGAAATAAGATTTATTTTATTTAAAAGTAAAAATTATGGTTCTATCTAGGATATTGGAGCTCTGGTGGCTAGTGCCTAAGTGCTAACCAGAAGGCTGGCGGTTCAAACCCACCAGCCACTCCTTGGAAGGAAGGTTGGGCAATCTACTTCTGTAGTGATACTGCCTTGGAAACCCAAGGAGAGGTCACTGTGAGTTGGATCTGACTCAACAGCAGTGAATTTGTTTTGTTTATCTAGGATATAGGCCAGCAAGATGACAGCATATATATCTTTTCTGCTTTTGGAGTTTATTTTTTAAAAAATCAAAAACTTCCTAATTTACAAAATTAAGTATCTTATTAAAAAATTATGATAGTACCTCGTTAACAATGAAAATCAGTCAGTTCATAATTCGTGGTACATAATTAATAAAAGAAAATCTTGGCTATACAAATGCTTGTGTCACAAAATTGTGAGCTTCTTGAAGGCAGACAGGGCATCTGGTTCATCTTAGTATTCTCACCTCCTGGAATGGAGGCTGGCATGTCATAGGTGTTTGGTGTATGTTCACATGAGTGAAACTAAGGTAGTATGTAATTATACAATGATTCTGCTATAATATGGTGATTTTTTTTTTTTTTTAAAGCAATGACTCCCTTTAATTTAGGTAAATCTTTATACTGAGTTTTTAGTATGAAAAGAAAGTCAAATCCATCACGGCTCTTTCACTAAGGAGAGTTTTTATTTATTTTTTAAAATGTATTTGTTTCTGAGAGATTGCTAACTACTTAAATATAAAGTTCTTATTAGGACTCTTAGTTGCAAATAATAACTGATTTCAGACAAGATTCGAGGGCTTAAATCAACACTGTAAGAATACAATTCTCTTTCAATTCTGCTTTCCTTTTGGTCTAGTAAAAGGGATGCCACCCAAGCATCACTACAGAAATCCCCTTCAGGAGGCAGGGCTGCAGCAGAGCAGGCTGCGACGGCTGAGCACCAGGTCGGTGCCTACAGCTGACACAGCCGGACACAGTAGGCCTGACAAAAGGCATGTTTAGTGAAGACTCATTAGTCATTTTTCATTAACTTAGAATTTTTGACTGTTTGAACATAGCTTGTGAGAGAGGTTATCTTCATATTTAATGAAAGGGAAAGTAAATTAATAAGAGTATAGATTTCTTAAAAACAACAACACACTAAAAGTGCTATCGGGGAGCTCTGGTAGTATAGTGCCTAAGGCACTTGACTGCTAACCAGAAGTCTGGCGGTTCGAACCCACCAGCCACTCCTCGGAAGGAAGGTTGGGCAATCTATTTCCTACTGATACTGCCTCGGAAACCCAAGGAGGGCTCGCTATGAGTCGGGTCTGACTTGACAGCACATAACAACAACAACAAAAGTGCTATAAAGTACTATTTTTTTAATCAATAATATTCACAAAGACAAGCAATGGTTAGAGTAGTGGTTTTATTATGTACTAATTTTAAATAATTTCAGCTTATTAACTTGACTTCTTTCAGGCAGTACTTGGTTAGAATTATATATGTTTCATTTTATTTACTTGAAATAAAAGTATTTCTTTAAAAAAAAATCAGACTTCGTACAGTGCCTTTGACATGTCTTGCTAATGAACCACAGAATTTCTGTGATTGAGGGAGACTGATAGAAAACCAGGTTTAATATAATTTCTCTGAAGGCAAGGGAGAATTTTAATAAGGAGAAAATGGTCATTGATATCAACTACTACCAGAAAGTTAAGGCAAATGAGGATTGATAAAAATCTGTTGGATTTGATGTGACAGTTTTGAGTTTCAAGAAAGAGTAGAATAAAGGGAATGGAGGTATTTAGAGATGGTTACCAGGGAGTGGAGGAGCTCTGGTAGCAGAGTGCCTAAGGCACTTGAGTGCTAGCCAGAAGGCTGGCGGTTCAAACCCATTAGCCACTCCTCAGAAGGAAGGTTGGGCAATCTACTTCCGTAGTGATGTTGTTGTTGTTGTTGTTATGTGCTGTCAAGTCTGACCTGACTCATAGTGACCCCTCCTTGGGTTTCTGAGGCAGTATCACTACGGAAGTAGATTGCTCCATCTTTCTTCTGAGGAGTAGCTGGTGGGTTTGAACTGCCAGCCTTCTGGTTAGCAGTCAAGTACCTTAGGCACTACACTACCAGAGCTCCTTCCGTAGCGGTAGTGCCTCGGAAACCCAAGGAGGGGTCTCTGTGAGTTGGGTCCGACTCAACAGCACATAACAACAACAACAACAGCAGGGAGTGGGTGATGGGGAAATGCAGTAGTGATTTTAATTTTTAAATTTTTTTTGGCCCTGAATAGAGGAAATAAAACTATGGGACAGTGTAGAGACTAATAAAATCATCTTGGTTGGTGGAGATACAAAGGAGATAATGAGAGAATGAAGGCATTGGTGAAAAGCAAGGCTTTAGGAATTGACAGAATACCGGGTGAGATGTTTCAACAAATGGATGCAACACTGGAAACACTTATTAATCTAAGGCAAGAAATTTGGAAAACAGCTACCTGGCCAACTAACTAGAAGAGATCCATGTTTGTACCCGTGCAAAAAAAGAATATGATCCAACAGAATGCACAAATTACCTGACAGCATCATTAATATCATACACAACTAAAATTTTGCTGAAGATAATTAAAAAATAATTGCAGCAGTACCTACCCAGGGAACTGCCAGTAATTCAAGCGGGTTTCAGAAGAGGATATGGAATGAGGGATATCATTGCTGATATCAGATGGATCTTGGCTGAAAGCAAAGAATACCAGCAAGGTGTTTACCTGTGTTTTACTGACTATGCAGAGGTATTTAACTGTGTGGATCATAACAAATTATGGATAACATTGTGAAGAAAGGGAATTCCAGAACACTTAATTGTGTTCATAAGGAGCCTGTACACAGACCAAGAGATAGTTGTTGAACAGAAGAAGGGGTTACTGATGGTTTAAAATCAGGAGAAGTGTACATCAGAGTTGTGTCCTTCCTCCATATTTATTCAATCTGTATACTGAACAAATAATCCAAGAAGCTGGACTATATAAAGAAGAACTCAACATCAGGATTGGAGAAGACTCATTAACAACCTGTGATATGCAGGTGACACAACTTTGCTTGCTGAAAATGAAGATGACTTGAAGCATTTGCTGATGAGGATCAAAGACTACAGCCTGCAGTATGGATTACACCTCAACATAAAGAAAACAAAAATCTTCACAACTGGACCAGTAATCAACATCTTCATAAATGGAGAAAAGATCAAAGTTGTCAAGGACTTCATTTTACTTGGACTCACAGTCCACATCCATGGAAGCAGCAGTCAGGAAATCCAATGATGTGTTACATTGGACAACTGCTGCAAAAAACAAAAACAAAACAAAACAAAACACCACAACCTCTTTAAAGTGTTAAAGAGCAAAGATGTCACTTTGAAGACAGGTGTACCTGACCCAAGCCGTGGTATTTTCAGTCACCTCATATGCATGTGAAAGCTGGACAGTGAATAAGGAAGATTGAAGCAGAGTTGATGCCTTTGAATTACGGTGTTGGTGAAGAATATTGAATATACTGTGGACTGCCAGAAGAACGAACAAATTTGTCTTGGGAGAGAGATAGTTGGAGTGGTCCTTAAAAGCGAGGATGGTAAGACTTTGTCTCTTGTACTTTGGTCATGTTATCAGTAGAGACCAATTCCCGGAGAAGGACTTCATGCTTGATACAGTTAAGGGTCAGCAAAAAAGAAGAAGACCTTCAAGGAGATGAATTGACACAGTGGCTACAAAGATGAGCTCCAACATAGCAACGGTGGTGATGATGGCACAAGACTGGGTAATGTTTCTTCCTGTTGTATATAGGGTTGCTGTGATCTGCAACCAACTTGACAGCACCTAACCAGAAACAACAGAGAGAGAATATTATGGGGAATATCAGTTTAAAAAAGGTTGAACTACATTGATTTAGATAATAATTAGCTTTTAATCTGCATGAGTGTTCTGTCTTATTCCCCCAAATATTGTTTTTACTTGATTATTAATTTAGCATTTTGTTAGCATCTATGTAAATAAAAGAACACATGACAACTCATTTTAGTTCTAGGATTAGGCCATGTTGGCTTATGCGTAGACTTCACCAGAAGCTAAGAGTTGGCTGGCATAAATGGCTCAAAGAGCAGGATAATGTTCTAAAATGAAACAAAAGAATATGGTTATCTCATTAGTACGTGCACAAGCACATCCCTACATTTCACTTGGAGGACTTGACTTAGAACTTCCTTATTGTCTATTACTCTGAATAAAGAGGCAGAACATAATAAACAAATGGTGTAAGTTAATCAGGGACTAGTCAGCTTTTGATAACCCTCCTGCCCCCTAGTATTAAGGGTTAGTTTTCTGCCTTACACTGCTTCTATGAATCAGCCTTTAATTTGTGCCCAGTGCTTTGAGTGTACCTGTCCAGCTGACTTCCTACCATCGCTGGCAGGAACCACTGTTTGGCTGGCTTTCAAGAATGATGATTATGACTAGGAATACTCATGAAGATAGATAAGTAGTTGTTTCTGGAAAATAATTGAGTGATTAAGCAAGAAGAACAGCTAAAATGTGGGAGTTTCAACTGCTAAAATTGTGAATAATATATGTGGTTTTTAACCATCAATGGTCAATTCCATAATGAAATTTGAGATAAATTGTTTCTTATTACCAGTCTGTCAGGGAAGTGACTGGACCACTATAATGGCTTGAGTCAATGTATACTTTAATACAAGGCTACTTGAGGCCATGCACAACCACCCCCCCCAGCCATATGCAAATTGTGGAGCGTTGGTATTCTTAGAAATAAGTATGATTTTCCCTCTCTGTAAGACCTGTCTTCAGAAAAGGATATGATTAATTCATTCCCATTAAGGACCCACCAGCCCACTCCATGGAAGGAAACTGAGTGGGTGATCTACCCTTTGTAAAGATTTACTGCCTCAGAAACCCAGAGGAGGTTGCTGTGCATTGGAATAGACTCAGTGGCAGTGAGTTGGGCTTGGTTTTGGTTAAGGACTGTATTTCTATGAGGCTTGTTGTATTTAGGCTAAGGGTGCTTGCTTTTTACCCAAAAGGCAATACTTTCAATTAAAATTTATTGACCACCTACTCTGTTTTAGGTGAGTGTGGTCAACCAGTTTTCTGTTCATCAATTAAAAAATCATCCTTACTTTTGTAACATTCACAGTCTAGTTGTCTAAGTTATAAAATTCTAATTATGGAATTGTAGGAGCCATTGAGCCAGATGATGAAAGAATTGTTGGTATCAGGTCCTTGTTGAAATCCCTTTTAGAGAGGCAGCTATTTATTTCACCTATGGCAAGGCTCACCTTGAAGACAGTTAATCCTCACTAAGTAGAAATGTTTGAATGATTTGTAAAATTATTTATGTAAAGTTAAGATGAAGCAGGAAAACTAGTATGTATTTTAATTGAAAGTAATTAATTACATATCTTCCCTCCTCATACACAAATTAATAAGCAGGCCATTCTTAATGTATTTTGGTCTCAGGTAGCTAGAATGTGGTTTACTTATTATCATTAAATGTAATTTCTTTTATAATTCAATATTTTAATTTCTCAGGATATTAGTCTGCGAACTTGAAAGTGTTTGGAACTTTTTATGCGTAAACTCATTACACTAATGTGGGCTAGATAAATTAATTGATTGTTTGTACCTGTTTCTTTGAAAATATCTTGAACTCCTTTTTCCTTTTGAACAAATCTTCATATATTAGTCATATTGTTATTTGAGGGAGCTCTGGTAGCATAGTGGCTAAGGCACTTGACTGCTCACCAGATGGCTGGCGGTTCAGACCCATCAGCCACTCCTCGGAAGGAAGGTTGGGCAATCCTACTTCCGTGGTGATACTGCCTCGGAAACCCAAGGAGGGGTCGCTATGAGTCAGGGCTGACTCGACGGCACATAACAACAACAGCAACAATTGTTATTTGAAAACTATCTTCCTCCTTTCCGGCCAGTGTATAGACACACACATACACACACACACACACACACGCATGCGCGCGCTCTATTATAATCTGGGAAAATTTACAAAAGAGTTGTTTATGGGAAGGCTTAATTTAACTTTAATTTTGCAAGAGCCATTGAAAAATAAAGAGGGAAGAGTGACTCGAACTTTTTTTTTGGGAAAAGGGAAAATACCAGCTCTTTTAATGAGATTTGCCAAATGATGATTTAAAGTCTTTTGGAAAGGCAGAACTGGTGGACATTGTCAGTTCATCTCTGCCTTCTGTGCCCTTTGGCTTCATCGTTAGATCCCTGCATTTATATTAAATTTTTTACTTCATGAAACTATTTTATCCTTTTTGACACACAGATGTCTTTCATTCAAAGGAATGTTTGAGAATAAATGAAGACTGTCAGATACTAGTACTTGTATAAGGGATATTCTCATTGGAGAAGTTTAAACAAGTCTTGAACAAACCATGAACATATCATTGTTCACTTAATGCTCAGCTTATTTGAATTCAAGAAAAGAAAGAAATTCTTGTTGTTCGGGTAGACTTCGTAATTATTTTTGCTCAGCAGTTGCTCTGTAAGCGGCATCCACAGTTGATCTGACACTTTTTTTTCTGTGTGTGTGGTTTAGATTAGAATATCTTAAGTTGATCACCTATTTGTAAAGAAAAAAAGAAGATATTTTAAAACAAAGGTTTTTTTTTTTTTTTTAAATTGTGATTTACTATTCCTATTCTGTTTTGTTTAAAGTACTTTGTTGCTTCTTTAACAAATTATTTCTCTGTTTCTTTTTCAGATGATTCTTGGAGAAACCATATCTGTTTACTTTAACATTTTGCACTCAAATTCCTTTATGAGGAATAACTACATAGCCACTATTTACAAAGCCGTTGGAACATTTTTATTTGGTGCAGCTGCTAGTCAGTCCCTGACTGACATTGCCAAATATTCGATAGGCAGGCTGCGGCCTCACTTCTTGGATGTTTGTGACCCAGATTGGTCAAAAATCAACTGCAGTGATGGTTACATTGAAACCTACATTTGTAGAGGGAATGCAGAAAAAGTTAAGGAAGGCAGGTGAGTTTTAAATCACTAATGCTTTTATATTGTGTGTTCTGGAAATGAATGGTTTCAGTAATTAGATGATGAGCCATCTGCTAACTTAGAGAGGCTAGTTTAAGGGAGGTGAATTGAGAAGATGACCTGTTTTCTCTCCTCATTCTTTCTTTTTTATTTCTTCCTTGCATTTTGTCCTGTTTCAGACATTTTTAATGCAAATCTTTTCATCTCCAGTGTATAACAAGAAATGTAAAATCGACCTCATTTAGTCCATGGGTCAGCAAACTTTTTATTTTTTTTAAAAAAAAGCATTTTTTTTGAAATATAATTTATATATAGTGAAATACATAAAATTAAAGTGACATGGGTCAGTACTTTTTTTTTGTGTGTGTGGCATTGTTGCCCCCTCTCCCCTGCCACCCCTGGCAACCAACAAAGAAAGTTTCCCTCCATATATAAACCTTTCCATGACCCTCCACAACAATACTATATTTGTCCATCTGTGATTGACTTATTTCACTCAGCATAATGTCCTCCAAGTTCATTCATGCTATGTGGTGTTTTGCAGACTCTACATTATTCTTTAGGGCTGCATAGCATTCCATTGTGTGTGTGTACCATAGATTGGTCATCCACTCTTCTGTTCATGGGCACGTAGGTTGTTTACATCTTTTTGCTGTTGTCAGTAGTGTTGTGATGAACATGGGTGTGCATATATCTGTTGCTATCATGGCTTTCACCTCTCTAGGATATATACCTAGTAATGGGATTGCTGAGTCAAATGATATCTCCAATTCCAGCTTTCTAAGAAATCGCCATACTGCTTTCCACAGTGGTTGTTATCACTTCACAGTACCTCCAGCAGTGTATGAGAGTCCCAATCTCTCCACACCCCTGCCAGCATTTGTTGTTTTCTGCCTCGTTGAACCTTGGCATCAGTGCTAGGGTGAGATAGTATCTCATTGTTGTTTTGATTTGCATCTCTCTGATGGCCAATGATTGTGAGCATCTCTTCATGTATTTGCTGGTCACCTGAATATCCTCCTTGGTGAAGTGTCTATTCATATCTTCTGCCCATTTTTCAATTGGATTGTTAATCCCTTTGCTGTTGAGGCATTGGAGTTTTCTACAAATCTTAGAGATCTAAGTCCCTTGCCAGGTATGTAATTATTGATAAGTATGAATTTGTTGCTGTCATTTTGTTACGTGCTTTTTCATGGTGTTGATTTCTTTGTTCCATATAATTTTCCGTGCTGAGCTCGTTTTGTTTATGAATCAACGTTATCAGTTCCTTCGTTCAGCAAACTTTTTCTTAAGGGGCCGAATAGTATATAGTTTAGACTTTTGGGAGCATATATATCTCTCTCACAACTCTTCAACACTGGCCTTGAACAGAAAAGCAACCATAGATAATACTTAAATGAATAATTATGGCTGTGTTCCAGTAAAACTTTATTTATGCAAACAGTGGCTGCCCTAGGATCATAGTTTGTCAACCCCAGTCTATTCCAATCATGCTAGATCTTTTATTATTCTTAGAGTATGTTTTAGGAGCTCTGGTGGCATAGTGCCTAAGACATTTGACTGCTAACCAGAAGGCTGGAGGTTCAAACCCACCAGCCACTCCTCAGCAGGAAGATTGGGCAATCTACTTCTATAGAGATACTACTTTGGAAACCCAAGGACGGGTGCTATGAGTCTAATTGACTCGACGGCAGTGATTTTGGTTTTGTTTGGTTTTAGAGTATACTTTTGGTAAGATACCTTGGTTTATATCTTGGCAGCTCTAGGTCCTCAGGTTGCCTTCTGAATAACACCCTGTCTACATTTTGGAGGACTATTACACATGAATGTTTAGAATGTTTAGAACCCCAAAGGTTATCTTGTCCAACTCCTGTAATTTATGCATAAGGAAACAGAGACCCAGTTATATTAAGTAAACCCACTAATTAGTAGCAGAGCTTATTCCTCACCTCAAGTCTCAGCATTGTCAGCCTTACTTTTTATATATGATTAAGTTAAGGAAGGCAGGTGAGTATTAAATTTTATATATGATCCTGAGATATGAGAGAGAGAGAGAGAGAGACAGAGAGACAGAGAGAGAAATCAAAGAATATTAGTAGTTACCAAGAGGATGGAGGTGAAGGGGGAAGCTTTTTTGGGGAGGGCATGGAGTTTATGCTAATAGGTGGTAGAATATTTTGGAAAAGGATCGCAATAATGGTGGCACAACATAAAAAATGTAACCAACGTCCCTGAGCTGCAAATGTGGAAGTGTTACGTTGGCACATGTCTTCTTATGTATGTTTTTCACCACAATAAAATAAATAAATAAATATTACAGCCTTGGAATATAGAATTAGTAATTGCTTTTTCCACGTCCTTAGTTCATCTTTCTCTGGTAGGATTAGTATGAGTCAAAATTGACTTAGTGGCAGTGGGTTTTAATGGGTATCAGTTTCCTTTATTTATTCATCATCCAACAAATGCTTTCTCTGACTAAAGCATTCTTTGTCTATTTTTTAAAAATTAATTTATTATTACTGTTTTTATTTTTGCAGTGTTCCCTTCCTTCCCCTCCCACCCCTGGTAGCCAACAAAGAAAGTTTCCTTCCAGATACAAACCTTTCCTTGACTTTTTACAATAATGAACTAATACAATGTTTATCCTTCTGTAATTGACTTACTTCACTCAGCATAATGTCCTCCAAGTTCATCCACGCAGTGTCTTGCAGATTCTATGTTATTCTTTAGTGTTGCTTAGTGTATATGTACCATAGTTTGGTTATCCATTCTTCTGTTGATTGGCATCTAGGTTATTTCCATCTTTTGCTATTGTAGATAGTGCTGTGATGAACATAAGTGTGCATATATATCTGTTCTTGTCCTTGCTGTCACTTCTTTAGGGTATATACCTAGTAATAGGATTGCTGGATTAAATGGTATTTCTAATTCCAACTTTTTTTTTTTTTCCTAATTCTAACTTTTTAAGGAATCGCCATACTGCTTTCCACAGTGCTTGTATCATTTTACAGTCCCACCATCAGTGTATGAAAGTCACAATTTCTCCACATCCTCATCAGCATTTGTCATTTTCTGTCTTGTTGGACTTTGCTATTAGTGCTGTGGCAAGATGGTATCTCATTGTTGTTTTGATTTGCATCTCTCCAATGGCTGATGATCATGATCATTCCTTCATGTGTTTGTTGGCTGCCTGGATATCCTCTTTGGTAAAGCGTCTATTCATGTCTTCTGCCCATTTTTGAATTGGATTGTTTGTCTTTTTCTTTTTGAGGTATTGGAGTTTTCTATAAATATTATAGGTAAGTCTGTTGTCAGATATGTCATTGCTGAATATCTTTTCCCAATCTGTAGTTTCTCTTTCTACTCTTTTAGAGAAGTCTTTTGAATGCATAAGAATTTAATTTTTAGAAGGTCCATTCATCTAGTTTATCTTCTGCTGTTTATGCACTTTTACTTATGTTTGGTAGTCTGTTAATGCATATATTAGGGCTGCTAAGTTTGCCCCTATTTTTTCCTTGATGAAGTTTATAGTTTTAGGTTTTGCATTTAAGTATTTGATCCATCTGGAGTTAGTTTTTGTGTATGGTGTTAGGTATGGATCTTGTTTCATTTTGCTGCAAATGGATACCCAGTCTTGCCCTCAAAACTCTGTTTGCTAAAGAGACTCTCTTCCCCTAAATGGATTTTGGGCCTTTGTCAAAGATTAGCTGACCATAGGTTGATGGATCTGTTTCTGGGTTCTCAATCTCATTCCACTGATCTGTGTGTCATTGTACCAATACCAGGCTGTTTTGACTACAGTGGTTGTATAGTAGGTTTTGAGACCCAGGAGTGTGAAACCTCATACTTTGTTCTTCTTCAGAAGTGCTTTACTTATATGAGAGCTCTTTCCTTTCCATATAGAATTAGTAATTGGTTTTTCCACGTCCTTAAAGAATGCTGATGGAATCTGGATCGGGATTGCATTGAATATATTGATTGCTTTGGAGAGTATTGACATTTTCATAGTGTTCAATCTTCCTATCCATGAGCATGGTATGTTCTTCCATTTATGTAGATCTTTTATGGTTTCTTGAAGTAGGCTTTTGTAGTTTTCTTTGTATAGGTCTTTTGTGTCTCTGGTAGGATTTACCCCAAGTATTTTTTCTTTTTGGTAGCTATTGTAAATGGTATTGATTTCCTTTTCATAGATCTCTTTGCCGGTAATTATCAGTACATCTTGATTGCATGTTTGGTCAATTTCTTCACCTTTGCTTTAATGGTTGTTATATAAATATTACGAATAAGTATAGTATTAACTGGCCTTTCTTGTAGGCATAGGATATTATATCTCTGATACTATTGTACTTCAGGATAGATCCTGACATATTCTTTTTGACAATGATTGTGATGCCATTCCTTTTCAATTTGTCATTCCTGGCCTTTTAGACCATAGGAGTGTCTGATTCAAAATGTCCAATACCAGTTCATTTCAGCTCACTAATGCCTAGGATGTTGATCTTTATTTGTTGCATTTCATTTTTTACAACTTCCATTTTTCCTAGATTGATATTTAGTACATTCCACATTTTGATTGTTAATAAATGTTTGTAGTTGTTTCTTCTCATTTTGACTTGTGCCACATCAGCAAATGACAGTCTCAAAAGCTGAACTCCATCCACGCCATTAAGGTCATCTTTACTTTGAGGAAGCTACTCTGCCCTAGTTGTATTTTGAGTGCCCTCTAACTTGAGGGGCTCATCGTCTGGCACTATATCAGACAACGTTTTTATGCTAATCATAAAGTTTTCAGTGACCAATCTTTTCAGAAATGGACCTCACTACATTCTTCTTAGTCTTTCTTAGTCTGGAAGCTCTGTTGAAACCTGCCCACATTGGACAGGTAACCCTGCTGGTATTTGAAATACCAGTGGCATAATTTCCAGCATCACAGCAACACACAGGCTACCACAGTAAGACAAACTGACACATGAGTGGTGGCATTGCCAAGTAAT